TTTTACGTAACTGTTTACGCTTGAAATTTATTGTTGCTGTGCGTACCGTTACATAAAAGCCATCGCCATCGCAGGCATGTTTATTTAATACGCTTAGCAGCTCTTAGCCAGCCAACTAGCTCACGCTCACAGACGTTCTTTGATGTCTCATTTAATGCGCATGATGGGCAATTTTTATGCGCAATTAATTCTAAAAGGCAAGAACGAACGGCTGGCGAGGAATACCAAAAGCCAAGGGCAGTCGCCCGGTTAGAAGCACTGAGAGAAAATTGGAAAACTAAGTAAATAAATGATATATATTACATTACAGTAATATATATTTTTGTAAGATAATTGGGAAACAAATTATTGAATTTAAAATAATTTTTTAAATATTTTTAATAGCCTTTTTTTGAAAAAAAGAATTTTAAAAATACAAGCAGAAGTGAAATGCATTTTGACTAGATATAGATACATATTATATTTAAGGAATAACTGTCATAATGGGTATACTTTTTCACAGTGTACCAGCAAAGGGGACTTTATTAATTGTTAGCTTTCAAAACTAGGTTGAACAAACTTGGAAATTCGGCTACTTCTGAGTCGGCTTTATTTGTTCTTAATTAGCCCTAAATAAACGCTACTTTTCGCTCACTGCAAGCGCATTGATACCCAAGAGAGATCCTCTGGCGGAAGTTCAAATCAAAAGACTTAGGCAACGAACTTGCAGCTTGCACAAGTTTCGTCTGGCCAGGCGCATCCGCCAGCCAAAAAAGCAACAAATGCAACAATGGCAACAGCATTGCGCAAACCGAGTCACTTGCGAAACCAATTCGATGTTCTCCGACTCTCTGTATGCTTGTTTGTGTGCGATTTTAACGAGGTTCTACTAATTTGGCTTACCGAAAAAGCAGAAAAAAAACAGAGAATAAATAGCACCACCAAAAAGCCAAGCTAAGTGGGTCAAGAGACGAGGAGAAGAGGCTGCGTGAGAGCGCCGTTCATTCCAGCGCCAATTTATGTAAATCTAAAACCAATCAGCGGCCTTCCACCGATGATCGTCGTCATCATCATCATTATATTATGGCCATTATGATGGGGGGGAACTAACGGTTTTCGGGGCCGCTTTTCGACCAAAACTCCCGCCGTTTTTCGGGTGAATGGAAAGAAAATTTCTTTTTTTTTTAGGGAAAAGCCTCCGCTATCGCAATTGGGCCATCGGATTGCGGCGGCAGCACTTGCACTTTCCGCCCAAAAAAACACGGCAAGATACCTACCATTAACATCGAGATCACCGAGATGCCGAGATGTAATCGACGAAGCGTAGGCGCTTGGCAATCAGCGCATGACGTCCCAGAACTGCACTCACTGCAGAAAACCTTTGGGATTTGGGATCTACGATCTAAGAGCCAAGACTAATTAGCGTTTGGGTCAAGAGAGTCGTCACCAAAAAATGGACTGACCAAATATAAGGGGGAAAAATATAATAAGAAAGCTCGGGGTAAAAATGCCTGCCGGTTTGTACTTGCATTTAAAATGAAATTAGCCGACATACGCAAATTGCAGACAGCAGGTTGCAAAGGCAGTGCGGAATGTGGAATATGGCAAGATGGCAAAATGGCAAAATGGAAAAATGGAAAATAAAGACTGGAGAATGCAGGTTGGGCCTGCCTGCAGTCGGGGTCACCATTAGCCCCTCCTCCGGGAACAGCAACTTTCTACGCAGCGATTGCAGGTTGCCTGCCGCAGGTTCAGCTGCACTTTAAGCCGCATTTAAGCTGCATCGCATTAATTGAGGTTTTTACTCAAGCGGAAACGGAGGACCACCATTCACACTTGCCACTTTGCATATAAATAGAGGCAGACTCATTCATACGACTTTCTGCTAGCCAAAAGAAATTCCGTTTCATATTGCATCACTGAAATCACATTTTCTATATATACCTGTAAATCAAGCGCATAAACAAATTAGTGAATTAAATAAAAAAGCCAACTTATTTGGCTGAAAAAGAACGTTTAACTATATATTATGTAATTGTAGCCTTCATTTTTGATAAGAAAATATTATATTATTTTAATTATTATAATTTATTTATATTTTAATTATTTTTCAACAATTAATTATTTTTAAGATTAATTTAATATTTTTATAAGCCCGCCTTTGCCTTTGTAGCTGATTTATGAGCATAATTTTTCAACTTCCATTTTAAGTGCAAAAAATCTCTTCCTTTTCACTGACCACAGAAACCCCAAATTAATTTCAGCTTTCGTTTTTTTTTAATATGTTTATTTTTTTTTCTGCTGCTGCCACTGCTACTCAATCAATTCTCTTTTAATTTTTTTTCTTTCGGTGAACTGTGCAAACAATTTCGATTTTGGTGCTACACTTTTTCCCCCGCAAAACAAAAAAAAAATGAAAAAGAAATAAAAAAAAAAGGCAAGCAAGGCAATCAAAGAAAAGGCGTTGATGGGTAATTTGTTACAAGAGCAACAACGGCAACAACGGACCATGTCCGAAACTAGTTGGAAGTTATAACGGTTATTATGATTATAATGATTATTAGATGATTTTGATCCGCGCCAAGACGCGCACAATGAATATTCCATTCCGACTTCCATAATGTTGGATGTTTGGATGTTTGTGGAGTTGCTGTGTAGTTGCTTGTTGTACAAATTGCTGCTGTTGTTTTGTCAATGGTAGCGTGCTTTTTTTATCTCTCTAAATATATACGTACATGTATATACTTATTTTTTGTATGATCCGCATATGTATGTGCGGTGTACGGGTATCACTTTCACTAAGTTCGCGCACATAGAAAGCAAATGAAAGCAACGCAAACGGCAATGGCAACAAGTTGCTGTCTGCCTTTGCACTTTAAGGTATTAGCTCCCACTCGGGACTATAAAAAAGCAGCCCCCAAAGATCCCAAAAAAAAAAGCGAAAAAAAAAATTGTATGGCTACGAACTCGGAGCCACATTGTCATGCATGGCCGACTGGGCAACCTTTGGGTTTCTTTAGTTTCTTGGTTTTCTTGGGCTTCGACGCACAGCGTGGGAGTCGTCATTAAAAAAGCAGAGACCCAGGGAACTGTTACTTGAAATTTAACCGAAAACGAAACTGAAAATAAAAATGAACTTGATTTCTTAATTTGCGTTTGCGTTTGCCCTGCATGACAAATGACTCGCCTAAAGTTGCCTTTTCTTGATTTCAATTTGCCCGAACTAATTTGATTTGTGCTTTTGTAGCTCTATATTACTTGTGCACCGCTTTTTGGGTGAATTGGAGTGGCTAAGAGAGCGTTTGGATGATGAGTTGGCCGAGAAGAAAGCACCGTTATGATGAAATTGCACTGGCATTGGCATCGGGGAATCGGGGAATCGGATTCGAGATTGTATAAGAAGCTGCCGCAGCAATTGGCTGCAGCAATGTGTAGCAACAACTGGGCAAGACGTGTTTTTTTCCTTAAGTTTATGCTGTTGCAGCTGCTTGGAAAGTTGCCTGCTGGTCAAATGATGTTGCAGTTATTCGACCATTTATGGCATGCCTCGCCGCCTGACTGACTGCCTTTTTAACTGGCCCCTCATCTCGATTATTATGCAAAGTCGCACTTGGCCAAAGAACAATTTTAACGTTTAGCTTTCGAGCTTCCAGCCGAGGGGATGAATCAAACTCATGACATTGGATAGTTGGATAGCTGAATAGCTGGATAGTCCGATAATCTGAGCCTGGGAACTACTGCTCAATTGAATAACTAATCATACAACAGCAACACATTTGATTATTGCACACGGCTGGCTCGCATTTTTGCATAGATACATAGATATATAGATACTCGTACTTTTGTACAAGCGGCAGCTACAACTAAATTGATGCCTGTTTTTCTCCGCTGTTGTGGCCATTTTCTCACGCTTTGCATTGACAACAGCAGCGGCAGCAGCAGCAGAAACAACAGAAACAACGAACAGCAACAGCTTAAGTCGAGAACATTTTGCAATCTGCGAATGCGAATGCCAGAGATTTTTCGCCAGGCGTCGAGCGTCGAGTGACCAAAGTGGAACGGAACTTGCTTAATTGTCAATCAAAGACGGTGGGGAAAATACCCCTGACAAGGCAGCTAAAAAAAATAAACACACAATAATCGCAAATACCTTAGATTCTTTGATTTGCAATAAAAAACCAATATTAAAATTAAAATTTATTATAAAAACAAAAATATTCTAGATATTAAAATGAAAAGGCAATGAAATGGAATCTAAAGTGCTCAAATAATATTTATTAAATGTTTTTTAAGAAAGTAAAAAAGTTAAAATCCAATCATAACCTGAATTATTATCTGGTAAAATAATATTTTACATATTTTAATAATGTACAATTTTTATTTATTAGAATAAATGTAAAATGCACAAATGATATTTATTAAATATTATTAAAAAGTGTCATCTCTTTAAGAATTTTGGTATATATTTACTTATTTAATTAGATATAACTTTTTTTAATATTCTAATCACTCGGAGATTCCCGTAATTTTATTAATTAATTCCCATTCATTTTAATAACTTTTAAGTAAGCAATATTTCAAGCTTTTCCCTTCCATATTTAATCATTGTGTTTAATCGAATTCATAAATCTTTTCCATTAACTTTCTTGGCTTTCTTTCGTTCTCTAAATTCAATTAAATAATATTCAATCACTGCCAACACTCCAGAACCTTAGAATCAATATTGTTTCATGCCCAGCGACTGCGACTTAATCAACATTTAATCGAACCTCTTGGTGGGGAATTAATTTGATAAATGATGGGGGAATATCGGTGGCAGCTCAATTCGCTGAGAACCCTGAGATGGAAGCCTAATTGGGAAATCAATCAAAAATCAAGAAATGATTTGCTCGCTTTGGGGCAGTGCCGACTGGCGACTGGCGATGAGAACTGTTGCGGCAATCGGAGAAGAATATTTCCCCATTATTGATGGCCATATAATCTAATATTCTTTCCTTTTTTCTTGTCTCGTATTCTTGCAGATGCCGGCAGTTGCAGCTTCCCGGGATCGCCGGCCCACAGCAGCGTGGTCTTCTCGAATGCGAATCTCACCCAGGGCACGGTGGCCTCCTACAGCTGCGAGCGCGGCTTCGAGCTCCTGGGACCGGCGAGACGCGTCTGCGACAAGGGGCAGTGGGTGCCCGAGGGCATTCCGTTCTGCGGTAAGTAACCAAAGCAACGAAGGCAACAAAACAAAAGACTTCGAACACGAACTTGCCTCGCCCGGCCGTTCGTCAACTCAATTAGCGCCTCAGAGGCGACTTCGATTCCAAATCGGACTGGGAACTACTTTCACCGCCACGAAGTTTGAAGCGTTCTCAAAATATATCTGCAGGGAGAGAAAAAATAGTTGTTACCAAGCCAAAACTCTTAGAAAACAATATTTAGCATTTTAAATACAAATAGGATAAGGAAAGAATTTAAATTTTTAAAAATATATTAGCAATATATCTAGCACAACTATCAGAAATCATTATTATGTATTAAAGATTGCAGATATGATAGGTGATAAAATTAAAATAAAATAAAAATATGAAAAAATTAAAATAGAAAATGTATAATTCATAAAGACAATAATATTTAATTTATTTCAAGGTAAAAGCTATAATTTCCATTAAATGTTAATAGAATAAATAGATTATAGATTAAATTTCAAAAACAACCTCGATTTCCTCGCTGTGTACGCTGTCCGCGACGAAAGAGAGCAAATGGCATTCCGATTGAATGCAAAGTTGTTAACCAAAAGCGAAACATGATTAACAAAACGCGCAAAATTGGGCTAAAATCCAATGCGTGTGTGTGTCTGTTTTCTGCGAAGAAAGAGCGGAATGCGAAGAAAGACGGGGATCCGGGGAGAAGCCGCGAGGTGGGAAGAATTCAACAATTCAAGCGCTCGACCAGATTGACCCACTTTTTGTGACTACAAACGCCAAAGCCCAACAGGCACGAAAAAAAAGAGTAAAACGTGTCGGGCACGAAAATAAATAAATATTCTAAACGAATTCCCAACGAGACATGCACTTCCGTGGGCCAAGCACAAACAAAAGCATGATTGACACAACGAGAGCGGCTGGCAAATGGTTTTCTAATCAATGAATACCGGAATTTGTTGAATGAACCACCGAACCGATCAATCGATCGATTGGAGGGCGTAAAATAATTCTCGAAAAAAATAAAAGAAGGCGGCACTTTAACGATCCATCAAACTTTCGACGGGCTCTTTGTTTTGATCTTACGAACTGGGAGATTTCGTCGATAAGTCGATCGAATGAGACAGTAGTAGGTGTTGATGCGCGTTGATAAAGCCTGGGAATTTCTGGAGAGAACTTAATGGGAGTTTGGAGGGTTTAGGCGGAATATGAGATCTAAATTATTGGACCAGGATTTTTAAATTAAATGGAAATATTTTCAACAGATCCCTAAAATTCCACAATAAATTGAATTTGTTCAGTAAACTTTCTTATATAAGAAAGCAGCTTTGATCCAAAGAATTTGTATCACATTTAGTTAAAATAGCAGATAAACAGATCTCACAAAAAAAGTGAAATGGAATTTTTTCGGTTTTTTATTTTTAAACTGTTTATAAGAAAGCAGTTATAATCCAGGGAATTTGTATTCATAAAGCAAAATCAAATCAAGTTGAAAATGATGAAAAGGCCGACCCAATTAGTTTTTAATTTTTCTTTGTGTGAAAAAAAGAATCCATTAATATTCCTTGAAAATTCCTTGACCCGAACTCTCGATCAAATCGTGAGATCCATAGACATATATGTAGGGCTGCTGTTTTAGACCCTCAAATGCCCCGCTGTCTTGGCTGATTGCAAGTTGATGACGTTTGAAAATAAAATAAAAGAAATGAACTGAGAAAAGAAAAGGAAAACAAAGCCGAGATTACCGACCTGAAAATCGTTGCTCTCGATCTGTAGGCCAAGTTTTTGGATTCGACGTGACACAGCAGGCGATAGGAAATTAATTAAAAGCAATTAAAAGGCATTTGTCACACCGGCAAACACCTGCTGCTACACAGAGAGAAATTGGGCGGGGGCTTATCGGCGAGTGAGTAGAGTTAGAAAGCCGTTTCCAAGTCGCTGAACTCAAGAAACTGAAAACCCAAACGCAAACCCAAACCCGTCTTATCCGACAGATGCATCTGATTAATGAATCCCAATGCCGCAGAAGTGCGTGGCGAGCGATGTAATTAAGCCCGGCCAGGTGAGCAAGTAAAAGTTGAGCCGACATTAAATTTCACTTTTGCTTTTTGCCCGGCCAAAAACGAATAAAATCTCCGTGGCCAAAAAAAAAAAAGACAATGGTCTCGGGCCAGAACGAAGGTCTCTTGACAAATTCGCCAGGCCAGGCAGAACATTGTTGGGCATTTTGTTAGCTTTGTTTTGTCTTCTTTTTTTTGTTGGTTTTGGTTTTGGTTTTGGCCACAAACCGTGTCATGGCCCGCGGCCAATTAGCCGGGCCTTGGGCCCACTCTGGGAACTCTTGGAGCTCTCGGAACTCCGTCACTTTGACCAACTGAATCCAACTCCAGCTCGCTAACAAACTGATCTTCATCGCCGCATTGCGCCTTGAATTCCCAAATAATTACCTATGACTATTATCTCTCTGCCCTTAGCATAATAAAAACGTTGTATCAGCTACTCAACATAACATTTTAAAAGGAAATTAAAATAATAAATAAATTATTACAATACTTATTTCCTTGAAATTTCTTATCAATTTAATTGAATTATTTTTAATGCACAAATGCCCATAATTATTGATGGCTTAGATTTTTTTGATGCAGTGAGATTGTGGCTTATCAGTTAAATTGATGATTCAAATTAAATCTTATTTGTTAAGACATATAAAAATGATACTTAAGGGAATTTAGAACAGCTATTACTTGAAGAATTTTACCTAAAAAAGTCTTATAACATTAATTAAATTCTTCAATATTATCTTTTTCTACAGTCTTAAATGTGGCCGCTGGCAAGGCGCCCATGCAGATTTCCACCGATGGCGCCGGTGCTCCGCAAAAGGCCATCGACGGCTCCACGTCCGCCTTCTTCACCCCGGAGACCTGCTCCCTGACGAAGGCGGAGCGATCGCCCTGGTGGTATGTCAACCTCCTGGAGCCCTACATGGTCCAACTGGTGCGTCTGGACTTTGGCAAATCCTGCTGCGGTAAGTTTGAGAACAGTATGTAATATTCCGAAAATTTAAATATAAATTTTAAAATATTTACAAAAATCATTAGTTAAAATTCTAGGAATAATTTCACAAATATTTTATGTAATTTAGAATAAATAAATGGAATGGAAATTCTGTGTAAAAGTGAAACTCCTTAAGTAAATAACTTGGCGATATATAAATTGTAGGGAAAGCTCTTAGATATTTTATGTAAAACATTTTCCAGCACAAGAAGTTTAAGTCCCCAAACAAAAAATAGCCAAAAATAAAATGGAAAGTGAGTGAATAAAATAATGCAATAAAGACCGTTTTATTCCCTTTTTTTGTAGCCATAATTTCGCAGCAACTCGGTCGGTCGTAAATGGCGCTTAGCCCGTGGTAATCCTCGAGCAAATTGATTAAATTGAGCAACTCTTTCGCCTTTATTAAGCCGCCGCTGCCGACGGCCCAACCCTAAACCTGTCGCAAAGCATATAGTTGGCGATAAAGCCGAATAATAGACCTGCCCGGACCGCATTCTGTGTGCGGACGAAACTCTCTCGCCCGTTGGACAGTTCAATGCCCCGTTTTCCCAGGCTACCAGGCGGCCAGGTTTCCAAGTTGCCAGCCTTTACTTTTTGCCAGCCAGCAAAATGGCAAATGCTGCACGATCTTCTCCCCCAAACTTAAACCCAAAACCCAAGTCTTTGTTTTAAAAAGGGTTGCGGCGGCAAAGCAAACAACTGCCAGCCAGTTTTCCCTAATGCTTTCACTTGCCAGCAACCTGAAGTCCCCCATCTCTTTGGATCTTCGAATCGGCGGCTGGTTATGTGATTTTCGTGCGGCTCTTCGCGACGACAGCGAAGACTCCACTTCGCCTTCGATGGCCTCCGATTCACAGAGCCAAGAAACCCAGACCCAGTGAGTCAGTGCAGCCCGAAATTTATGATTACTTTCACTTGGCTGAGGCTCAAGCTAAAACTGAAGCTGAAGCTGAAGCTCAAAGCAAAAGCAAACCAAACCAAAGACCAAAAGCAAACCAAGCTGAACTGAACCCGCCTGACCCGCTGACAGACAAAGCCATAACAATAATAATGACAACAGGAATACCAATAGAAATAGCTGGGGATGCTGTGGTGCACTGCGAGAAATTAAGTTAAGTTAATAGTTAAGTAGTAAGTTTTAGGGGGAAATATATAGTATTTCAGCATTTAAAAAATCGATATGTTTATCATACTTATAAATAGAGTTCGGATTATATTCACAACCGTATTTTTACCTTTGAATTTAAGCAATTTTAGTCAAGATAAAATTATTATTCAAAAAATTAAATTTTGTAGTTTTAACCTAATTTTGAGTTTTAGAAAAAAATGTATCTTTAATCTAAGATCGCAAGAAATCGAACATTTGCAATACGGTTTTGTATATAAACCGATGTCTAGTAATATTGGTACTAAAATATATAATATTTAAATTAAATTCCAAAAGAAATTGTATATTTAAAATGAACAAATGATTGTCCAAATAAATTTTAAATTTAAAAAACAAAATCGTATAAAAAAGGTTCATAGATTTCATCCAAAAATTCTATAAAATAATCCCAAGATTATTTTGGTTGAAGGGAATTAGGAATATTTTTAAAAAAGGTTCTGAAAAATTGTACTTTTTTTTAAGTAAGTTTGCAATGCAATTTACCAAATAAATGGTAGCCCACCGTACTTAAAATACAAATTAAATTCTATAAAATAATTAAATTAATAATAATAATAGTGCACTTACCTGTGACAACCCATTGATTGCTGATCTTCCGCTTTGCAGGCAACAAGCCGGCCACCATTGTGGTGCGGGTGGGCAACAACCGTCCGGATTTGGGCACGAATCCGATCTGCAATCGCTTCACGGGCCTCCTGGAGGCCGGGCAGCCGCTCTTCCTGCCCTGCAATCCGCCGATGCCCGGTGCCTTCGTGAGCGTCCACCTGGAGAACAGCACGCCGAATCCGCTGTCCATCTGCGAGGCGTTCGTCTACACGGACCAGGCGCTGCCCATCGAGCGGTGTCCCACGTTCAGGGATCAGCCGCCGGGAGCGCTGGCCTCGTACAACGGCAAGTGCTACATCTTCTACAACCGCCAGCCGCTGAACTTCCTGGACGCCCTGTCCTTCTGCCGTTCCCGCGGTGGCACGCTGATCAGCGAGAGCAATCCGGCGCTGCAGGGCTTCATCAGCTGGGAGCTGTGGCGGCGCCACCGCAGCGACGTCAGCTCGCAGTACTGGATGGGGGCGGTGCGCGACGGCAGCGATCGCAGCAGCTGGAAATGGGTCAACGGCGACGAGCTGACCGTCTCCTTCTGGAGTCATCCGGGTGGCGATGAGGATTGCGCTCGGTTTGATGGATCCAAGGGATGGCTGTGGAGCGACACCAACTGCAACACGCTGCTGAACTTCATCTGCCAGCACCAGCCGAAGACCTGCGGCCGCCCCGAGCAGCCGCCCAATTCCACGATGGTGGCCCTGAATGGATTCGAGGTGGGCGCCCAGATCAAGTACAGCTGCGATGCCAACCACCTGCTGGTGGGTCCTGCCACGAGGACCTGTCTGGAGACGGGATTCTACAACGAGTTTCCGCCGGTCTGCAAGTGTGAGTATCAAGTCTTATCGATATTATCGGTACTATCGGAAATTCGAGAAAATTTACCTCTATTTACTAAAACAAAGGAAAACTACTATAAAACTAATTGAAAATTGGTGACTAAATCGTGAGATAAGAACATTTAAATGTATATATCTCAATTTTACAATTAAAGTGAAACTAAATATACTTATCTAATCTTTAAAATCACAAAAATCATATGTAAAATTTAATTATTTCAATATCTAAAACAAAGGAAAACTACTCAAAATTAATTAAACATCGAATGATCATATCAGAAAATGAAAATATATATCAATATTACAGCAGAACGATAGTATCGATATCGATCATCGATCATTGATCCTAAAACCATACATAGTATCGATAGTACTATCTATCGTTTTAACAACCCTGTGTTTATTTGTTTTCAAAAGTTCAACGAACTTGACATCCTTGGTAATAAACTTGTAGAAACTCCTACTAATAACTAATTCCCTTACAGATATCGAATGTGGTCTTCCGGCCAGCATTGCCCATGGATCCTATGGCCTGCTGAACAATACCGTGGGCTACCTGAGCCTGGTGAAGTACTCCTGCGAGGAGGGCTACGAGATGATAGGACGCGCCCTGCTCACCTGCGATTTCGATGAGCGCTGGAACGGACCGCCGCCGCGCTGCGAGAGTGAGTATACAAATATTAGATGGTAATCCCCTGAAGGTCGCTAATCCAGAGCTTTACTTACCTTTACTTTAGTTGTGGAGTGCGACACACTGCCTGGAAATTACTACAGCACCATTATCCATGCTCCGAATGGCACGTACTATGGCTCCAAGGCGGAGATCAGTTGTCCGCCCGGATATCGCATGGAGGGACCTCGGGTGCTCAGCTGCTTGGCCAGCGGCCAGTGGAGCAGCGCCCTGCCGCGTTGCATCAAGCTGGAGCCCTCCACGCAGCCCACGGCCGCCTCCACCATTCCGGTGCCCTCGTCGGTGGCCACGCCGCCGCCCTTCCGGCCCAAGGTCGTCAGCTCGACCACCAACCGCACCCCCTACCGCCCACCGGTGGTCTCCACCGCCAGCAGCGGCATCAGCGGCAGCTCCACCAGCACAGTGGGCACTTATCCCAGTCTCAGTCCCACGCAGGTGGAGATCAACGGCGAATGTGAGTAGAGTGCAAAGTAGCGGGTTAAAAGCTCTGAGGTCATCTTGGGTTAATCCTAACAAATTTCCAAAGAAACACTTTAGTTGCATGCAAACGAGCTGCTTACGAAATGCCATTTTCTTTGTAACTTTCAATTTAATTACTTAAAATATTCACGGAAAATTGTGTAATAGAAGGAGATCTAGTTTATCTGTAAATTTATTCAAGATATCAGATAAATGGGCTATTTAGTTTAAAACCTCATTCAAAAATAGCATCCAATCTTTAATTTGAAAAATATTTTTTTAATCGAAATTAAATTAACTTTTTTACATTATTTTAGTTTATTAAAATTTATAAACAAGCCATTTATTTGTAAAACTAAAGAAAATTATTTTTTTATATATAGAGAATATAGTGTTTCAGTATTTCTAAAAAGCTTTTTTCGGTAGTAACTAAATTGCTATTTTTTTAAGATTTTAAAATGGCCTAAATCGAATTATATGAAAAAAAGTATTCTTGAAATTCAAATTCAAGAGAACATATATCAAAAATTTATTTTATTATAAACTTTAATTTAGTTTTTGAATCAAAGATCACTAGAACTCGAATGTTTTGGCATATAACCCGATACCTAGTTATAATTATTTTTATTATGTATGAATATTTTAGCTATTTGCTAATTATCCTTTAATTTTCCCGCAGCTGAATCCGAGGAGGAGATCAATGTGCCGCCAGTGCCCGGAACCGTTCGCGAGGAGTTCCCGCCCCGCCGCACCGTCCGTCCAGTGCTCATCCCGAAGAAGCCGAGCAGCACGCCGGCGGCCCTGCCACCCACCACCACCCACCAGGTGCCGCAGCCACCCTCCACCTACGCACCCACACCGCCGCGCAGCTCGCGGCCCAGCGGGGCACCCAACCAGGTGGAGACCACCACCCGGAACACGCAGCAGATCATCGCCAACTCGCATCCGCAGGACAACGAGATCCCCGACAGCGTCAACATCCAGCAGAACCAGTCGCCCAATGTCAACGTGCCATTCGCCGTCGACAATCCCGACCGCAAGGAGACCAAGGAGGCCAAGCTCAATCTGGGCGCCATCGTGGCTCTGGGCGCTTTTGGTGGCTTCGTCTTCCTGGCCGCCGTCATCACCACGATCGTGATCCTCGTGCGAAGGTGAGTCCACCAGACGGTCCACATGATCGAGGTCAATTTGGTCTTTTCCCCAGATCAATCAATACTAATTTCGAACTTTAAGTGATCATTGCGATCCTGGTTTGCCCAAATTTATTTCGTCTTATTGAAATGGTTCGAAATTGCATCTTAAGACTGATAGGTTGGCCCTTTATATAGTAATTCTGTCCAAAGTAGGGAATAATATTTAAAAGTTATTAATAGTTATTAAAAAATTGAGATGTGTATGAGATTTTGATAATATTTAATTAATCTAATTTTTTGTAATTAATGATTTTAATGGTTTCCCCAACAATTAAAAAAAATCCCAATTTAAATGTATACTTGTAGAAAGAAAAAACATATTCGAGGGTGCCCTATCAAAATTATTTTGAAAATACTTAAAAAGGTGTCTAAAAGTAATTTAAAAGAAATAGAAGTTTGGTATATATCATTGTTATAATGATATAATAATAATATTCGTCTTTGTTAAACAGGTTTTATAAGTGTATTGCAATAAGATCAGATTGACCGTGATTTCATATCAATATTTTTGTTCTGTGTGAAGGAAAGTCGATCGTTGTCGGGGTCACCACCTCCCAGCCACCCTTTGTCTTTCCCCCTCTCCCTTTCCCTCTCTCTCCCTCTGTCTGTATGTCTCTTCCTCTAGCTCACACACGCTGTATCCGTCTCTCTCTGCCCCTGTATCGTCACCTCTTTCTCCGCCGAGTCCCAACTTTGGATGGTTTTTGTTTTGATTTCAGTAATCCCCATCCGCACCGGAACTTGATTCTTTTCTCTCTCTGTATAAAGCACACGCAAATCAAAAAAAAAAAAAAAGAGAGTCTCTTACGCACACAGACACACACAGCACACACACACGCACACCTGAACATCGAACGCTTTCTCTTTCTCGTTGTACAACTCTCTTTTTTCGTTTTTGCTTCTCCCACTCTCTGTCTTTTGGCAAAACTTCGCAAATTCGTCAGCACCCCGAACAGCCAACGGCGGCACCTAGCCAAACACTTAACCGCTTACCAACATCATCATGCTCATCATCACCACCACCAGCAGATCCATCAGTTGCAGCACCTCCAGAAGTACCTCCCACAGCAGCAGTTCCAGAAGTACCACCCACAGCAGCAGTACGAACAACCGCAAGCGAAGAAGTCGCAGGGAATCGCAGGGATCGGGATCGGCTTCGGGATTTCGGGAACGGGATCGAGATCGAGATCGAGATCGGGAATACCGAGGCCCAGTCGATTGCCCAGCTATGCCACGGCGACGGCCACCAGTGCCACCAGCTATGCCTCCACCGCCCAACTGACGGGAGGTTCGAGTGGCGATAGAGAAAGAGACGGGGGTATGGATCGCGAGAGAGATGGCAATAGGGATCATCCATCCCTGTGGTACAGCGTTCTCGCTCTGCCCTTCGACGATCAGAAGCTGGGACGTCGCGAGTTCAGCAGCTATGGGCGTGGCTATCGCGCCCGCGCCGGACTCTTCAGCAGCTCCCATATGTAGAAAGAAAAACTAAGAAAATAGAAGAAAACGATCCCAGGAAACCCGAGGAAAACCAAGCCAAAGAGACCTGCTACTACCTGGAACCAAACACTAAAAACTAATTTAAAAACGTGCCAAAGATGCAAGAAACACAGAGAAACGAAATCAATCAAACAGATCAATCATAGCGGCCATATGCACAAATGTAAGCAGCATATATATCAATCAATCAACCAACCAACCAACAACAAGAACAACACCACACGAAACAACAGTCAATCAGTCAGTCAATCAATCAATCAATCAATCAAAACAGCAACACTGAAACACTGAAAACAAAAAACCAAAGCTGCCAAAAGCTGCGAATGCGAATGCTGTGGGCTGTGAGGCGATAATCCTACTCCTTGCTGTTGCACCTCCATCAATCAGTCAATCAATCATTGCATCTACCACCCACTCGCTATCTCTTTCACACACACACACACCGCACGCCTGGATCGCTGTCTCTGTCTCTTTTTTTTGCCTGCCTGTCTCTTTCTCCACCCCTCTATCTGTCTCTTTCTATGCATCCTATATCTGTTTCTGTCTCTGTATCTGTGTGCGTAGTTCTCCGTGTTTAACCTTGTTTTTTTGCCTGTACTTGTAACTAACCCAACACCATTTCGTCCTGGCATTCAGCATTACCAAGTGGTTAGTGAACAATCGTAACTAATGGGTATTATTTATATTTGCCATCCCCAGAAATCGAACCACGCAACACTATCGCCATCGCGCCTCGCCCGACTGCAACACAGTGGCCAGCTTCGATAGCTCCACCTCGGGATCCCGAAATGGACTCAACAGGTGGGTTCCGAGCTCCTAAGTCCTTAAACTATTTTTAATAATATGATATACACTTTAAAACTAGGTACTACCGCCAAGCCTGGGAGAACCTGCACGAGTCCGCCTCGAAGAACAGCTCGCACAACGCCCTGCGCCGCAAGGAGACCCTCGATCCGCCCAGTATGACCCGATCCCGTGACAATCTGCGCGACAATATGCAGCGCTCCCGCGAAAATCTTGATAGGTGAGTTAATTTTGGGAAGAAAAAATTAGTTAAATATCTAATTAAATCACCTTAAACATATAAAGAAAATATTGATATGTTTAAAGACATTAATTAGAGATTATAATAAAAAAAAAATATTTTTTGATAAATTCCTAAATTAATGTATTTGATTGCTAATGAATTCCTAAATTCATTTGATAGTAATGCATGAATTCACTAGTTTCTCAAATAAATTCACAAATGAACTCCCCAATAAATACAAAATACATTTCCCGAATTCTTAATTTCTGATAATGAATTCCGAATAGAGACCATTTCTAACCCCTTTCATCTCTAGTAATGAATGAATTCACTAGTTTCTCAAATCAATTCACAAATGAACTCATCAGTAAATAAAAAAGGATTTTGCTGGAAATTCACGAATAAAAGCTTCAAAAAAATTGACAGAAATTTTAAAATTCTTCATTTCTGATATTAAATTCCGAATAGAAACCATTTCTAATCCCTTTCATCTTTATACCCCCAAAACAGATGCGGCAGGGACAACTATGGCATGCGGGATGACTCCGAAATGGTGGTCTCCTCGGTGGTGTCCGATGTGTGCCTGAAGGGCGAGAAGAAGCGCCACCACCACCATCACCACAAGAGCAGCTCCCGCAACGGCGACTACCGCGATCGGGATCAGTCCTCCGGCAGGCGAGAGCACCACCGACACAGCGGAGGCGGAGGAGGCGGAGGCGGCGGTGGCGGCCACTATTGACCAACCATGGTCATCACCATCAACTTGGAGCGGCAGTAGCCAAACGAACGAGTAGTCGAGTAGGCCAGCAGTCGGCGTAGAAATCGGATTCGGATTTGGATTTGAATTTGAATTTAAGTTAGGATTCAGATTCTGGAAATCGCAATCTGAGTGCTGCAAAGCGAGCGCAACAACGAAACGTTTTTTGTTTAATTTTAGCAACAGTTTTTTTTCGCGCTTTAGTTATGTAAGCCAGTTGATATCGAGATCGAGAAAAAAAAGAGGGTTCGGCCAATGTGGAGGAGACTTTTCTGTTCATAGTGAAAAAACCAGATGTTAAACAAGCAGCGCAAGAGATCCTTTAACTTGCAAGTCAATACTTAGCTATATACTCGTATGCGATGTTTATTCGGGGCGCAAGACGGAGGACTCTGGAGATTTAGGAACCATAGATTATATCTAGAGATAATTCTCAAGTTATACAATATTTTTTAGATTTTTTTATAGGTTCCTAACTCTTTAGAGCTCCGTGGAAGCGCGCCCCCCTTATAAGATTTTTGATCCGAACTCGTATAATTTATTCGCAAAGCTTTCGTACGGTTCTTAGTTAAATTTTCTCTATGAATTAGTTGTATGTTGTAGGCGTGAACAGGGCAGAAAGGCGAGGCGTAGTAATTAGTTGCAAGGCACCAGCATCCACACACCCACATAAACTCCCCATTTTCCCATCTCCACGCCCCCAAAGCGAACCACCCACTTTTCACCCAGCAAGCAGATCACACAGCTGCAGCCAAATTATGTGCAACTTGGTTTCGTTTGAGGTCTCAAGCCAAATCGACTTGCTCATAGTCGCAAATTAGTTACGTAAACACACTTACACTAGATAGAACTATCCATCCATTCCTCGAGAAAAATCCAAAATAATATCGTAGTACGTGTGCCACAGAAATTACTGTATAAAGAATATCTGCACAGGATCGGAAGAGTATATCATTTTTTACCCCAAGCACCAAGCTGCACCATTCCATTATTTTTTTTACCTACCCATTATTTTATGTATGTGTATCGTATCGCCCTGTATTTGTATTTCTAGAGTCTTGTAATTTGTAGATTTTGTTTTCGCGTGTGTATCGTCGAGCGGTCCAGTGCTAAAATACCGCTTAGTATGCAATATTATTTGAATTTCGTGCATTATTTCCAATGTAAATAATAATAATTTATTTCATAAATAAAACAATGAATATTTTTACTAAACAAGTTTTTGTTTTTATTGTTTTTGGGCGAAATGGAATTTGTTTTAGTTCCAATGAAAAGAGTAAATATTTTACAAGCAAAATAAATAAAAATCAAATATTTCCTAAATTAAATTTGAATTTTGAATGGGCGGGCCACAGTGTGACGCCATCTGTTGGCAAAAAGTTGTAGTCAACTAACATTTTGACTGCTGAAGGCTAACAGCTGTTAACCAGGTAAACATTGCGCTGTTAACTTAACATCACAAATCGATTTTTTCGGCGTTATCGATTTTGCGGTCTAGAAATTTAGTTGGCAACGCGACACCGCCCTAAAAAATCAGTTGGCAACTCCGCGCCGCCTCAGAAATGTGGTTGGCAACCAACTGTGGTACCGATAGTTTAGTGATAGTTTTCAAAACATCGATGGGCCATTATCGATAGTGCCATCGAAAGTGGGCCAGCTCTAGAACTCGCGCTGAAAAAATCGCTCTTTTCCTGTTTCCGCCGTCGTTGGAAAGTAGTGTTTTTTTTGTCCGCGGAAAAATCTCCAAATGGTAGGTTTTCAAGGCCTTTAATAATGGCTAATACGGCCGCTAGTCCGAGCTAAGTCCGTGCGACTACTTAAAATGGCAAAATTCAATCAAATACATTCCCTCATGCACGCCTGCATGTGTGTGTGTGTGCACGTGTGCGAAATTCGAGGAATTTTCAGTGGCGAACTTATTTTGTTTTTTTTCTGTGAATTGTGATATAGAAATTTGCTAATACTTTGTGCTCTTTCAGACGAAGGGTACCTCCAGCTTTGGTAAGCGCCACAACAAGACGCACACCTTGTGCCGTCGCTGTGGCCGCTCCTCCTACCACATCCAGAAGTCGACTTGCGCCCAGTGCGGCTACCCCGCCGCCAAGTTGCGTTCCTGTGAGTACTGCCTATATATAACCCATGAAACTGTTAATAATATAAAACCTATTCCTTAGACAACTGGTCCGTGAAGGCCAAGAGGAGGAAGACCACCGGAACCGGCCGCATGCAGCACCTGAAGGTCGTGCGCCGCCGCTTCCGCAACGGATTCCGCGAGGGCACCCAGGCCAAGCCCAAGAAGGCCGTGCAGTCCAGCAAGTAGGATCCAGGATCCACGTCTATATCCCCATGAGATATACACAGACCACCAGAGAGCCGATCTTCGTGAAAACACCATCTAAAATCCACAGTTCAATGGCCCCCAGAAAGGGCTAATAAATCGCTCGAGCGCTAATAAATGAACGTTTTTTTTTTATTAAGTGAACCACGGTGACTATTTTTTTTATTGTTCTGTGCAAGAAAAGTGAAAACGGTAACTGCGAAATACCCTGAACCGCCAAAATGCTCATACCAAACTGAGAAATACCCTGTAGGGCTTAAGTTCCGCGTGGTCTTTCTAGAGGGCCACATAAATTCCTAAAAAGAAAGGAGTTTATACCCTTTTATAATCGCAAAGTATCACAGATCTATAATTGTAACCTGCAGCTGTACTGACTAAACCAAAAAACACGTAAATTGGTTACTTTTTTGTATTACCTGTTAAAACTATTCAATATGTTAAATGTCAACAAATTTAACGTAGTTTTTTTGTATAAGTATTTTTTCCTTGATAATCATGATTTCTATAAAAATCTGTTCAACCTTTTCCTTAAAGTCCATTAACTAAATCTTGCAACAATTTTATGTCTGATAAAATCATAATGCCGGTAAAAAGAAACATCTAAACTGGTTTTGTTCTCAAAGTGCAGGTTGTAATTACAAAAAGCTGTGATACATTGCGATTAATTGAAAAAACGTGGCGGTATACATATGAATAAAGAAATTTGCAATAGAATCGTTTACCAGATATTTCCAAAAATGTTCAGCAAAAGTTTGTGACCAGAAACACAGTTATAGTATAGTCTGTTTAGGGACAGTTCTTTATAAAGCTAATCCAGATAAAAATCAAATCCGAAACTATTGTTAGAATGAAAGAGGTAAAAATCGTATATACTTGCGTTAAGCCAGAAAACAAACCCAAATGTTGTGTAGATATCTGCAATTATCCATAAGTACTACACAACAGTTTCAGTAATACCAGAAGTCTAAGTTCAATAATATCCAATACGGAATTCATTATTAAATTTAAAATCAAGATTGGCAGATGTTTAAAATTACTAAAAACTAGTATTTTCGTATTTGTTTATTTTTGTCTTACAACATGAATGATTTAAGATCTGTTCATCTAGCTTAACATTTGCTTCAATACAAATTCAAAGAATATTTATTATTAAAACTAACTATCAATCAGATATATATGTGTTTTTAGTTTTAGGAGCGTTTTGTATCATGTCCCACAGTTATAGTGGTTTTATTTAGCTGAATCTAATAGCTACCTAGCAAAAGCCTGAATAATAGAGGCACTTCATCAAATTTCTTTTATAAATATCCATATTTACCATAATGCACACTTAGCTCATGGTTTTTGTATACCTATTATTGGTTTTGTTTTGATAAAGACGCATAAAGATTATTATTTTTATCAGATACTCCTTTCTAGAAACGATGATTGATGGTTTCTGACCAATAATACAATAATACGAAGGTCTCAATAAGAACTACACATTAATGTAAGCCTCATGTGGAGTTTTAAGTAATACAGTTTTAGAGCATTGATCTTGGCGATTTTTCTCCAGTACCTGTAAACATTTACCAATTTTTAGGTATACCAATAGCTTCTCAAACTTTAACTGGCCTTTGTTAACAGCTTTCAGAAGTTCCTCCCGACTGTATGTTCTGAATTTGAATATTGCATACTTTTAGGAACCAATTAAATGAAAATTCAATATAATAAAGGTTAAGGTAACCCATATTCCTAGGTTCTCAGGTATTTACATCAAAACCATACGTTTTTGTAACATATTTATATATTTTATTAATTAAATTACCATTAAAAAAACTGACATTCGACCTCGCTTAAGGTAACGTAAGTATTCTAAGAAAACATGGGTTCCGAGAGTCTCAGTCTGGGGACCATTTAACTCGGGGACCAGCGATGACTTCCTCTCGAAGCCCGGTTTAGCAAGCAAGATAATATCGTACATCAAGCAGTGATTGATTGGTTTATGACTACGAATCGGTTCGGTTCTCATTTGTCGCTCGATTTGACTAACAGTACAATTTACAATGTATAAAGCGTTCCACTAAAACTAAGGGCGGGAATTCTTGGGACTCGTGATGGATGGACGGATTGGATGGGAAATACATGGGGTATGGGATATTGGGGATTTCGCTGGGGTTACTAAACATATTGCCACTAAATGCTAAGACATTTACAAGTTACATAGCTAAGAAAGGGTGTGTGTGTCCAGACTAATCGGAGTGTGGATGCGATTGGAGGAGGGCAGTGCTGCTGGGCTTTGAGGCTAGTGTCGTCGTCGCATCCTGGGCGGCCGTATTATCCTTAACCACCTTCGCAGAAGAAGGAGAGGGTCGCTTGATGAGCAGCTTCTTCAGATTCTGGAAGGGCGCGTCGAAGAGCACCGTCAGGGCCACGGAGGCCAGGAAGATCGATATGAATTCGTTGGTATCGAGCTGGGGTGAGAATATAAAATATCATTAATCATTATATCTTTCTATATTATATCATATAATATTATATCATATAATATAATATAATATCATATCATATCATATCATATCATATCATATCATATCATATCATATCATATCATATCATATCATATCATATCATATCATATCATATCATATCATATCATATCATATCATATCATATCATATCATATCATATCATATCATATCATATCATATCATATCATATCATATCATATCATATCATATCATATCATATCATATCATATCATATCATATCATATCATATCATATCATATCATATCATATCATATCATATCATATCATATCATATCATATCATATCATATCATATCATATCATATCATATCATATCATATCATATCATATCATATCATATCATATCATATCATATCATATCATATCATATCATATCATATCATATCATATCATATCATATCATATCATATCATATCATATCATATCATATCATATCATATCATATCATATCATATCATATCATATCATATCATATCATATCATATCATATCATATCATATCATATCATATCATATCATATCATATCATATCATATCATATCATATCATATCATATCATATCATATCATATCATATCATATCATATCATATCATATCATATCATATCATATCATATCATATCATATCATATCATATCATATCATATCATATCATATCATATCATATCATATCATATCATATCATATCATATCATATCATATCATATCATATCATATCATATCATATCATATCATATCATATCATATCATATCATATCATATCATATCATATCATATCATATCATATCATATCATATCTCATCATATATCATATCATATCATAGATCATTCTTGAGACTCTAGCCACAACTACTCACAATAATCGAAACAAAGTTGTAGTAGTGGTGAATGTGACGCCTTCGGCCGACGTTAAAGAAGAACACGGGGAACTGCGTCAGGTAAATGGCGTACGAGAGCTTCGTGGACACCTGGAAGCCGCGCCAGGCGAACAGCTTCGTCAGTTTATCTATAAGATAAAGGATAATCAGCGTCACAATAAAATCTCTAAACCCAAGGATACCCACTTGTATAGCCATTATGAGAGACAAAGACGATCCAGGAGAAGAACAGACACCAGGCAATCGGCGCAAAGGCGGCGTAAATGGCCGCATGCGTGGAGTTGTACACGTAGTCGATGTGCCCCATGGGCGCGGGTCCCAGGAGGGAGGCCAGGACGCAGACGGTGGCCACCAGCCAGCCGAGGCGCAGCTGCAGGCTGCTCAGCCTGGCGTTCTGGTACTTGCGCAGCACGTAGCCCAGCAGGATGCCCATGATGTACACCGTGGAGCGGTGGGGCGGGAACGAGTACATGTAGTCTGCGGTGCGGAAGAGTCGCTGGATGCTGGGAAGATCACGAGAAAATAAGGGGATTAGGTGATTATCCTATGAAGAAATTAACTACTAACATAAAAAAATATATTTCCCTTAAAATAAAACTTAATATCTTATGTATCCCCTTACTAAAAAGACTACTTTGTAAAAAATGCACCCAAAGAATTCGCGTTTCCATGCTTGCGCAGAAGAAAAACTGCTTTATCAGTGCTGTTCTAAAGAATTCGCGTTTTAAACATTCAATGTAATTAAAATATTATTATTTAATTTTATATTATTATATAATTTTATTATTATTATTTAAATAAACTATTTTTTCTCCATCTTATTCTCTAACCCAAAATAGATTGCCTACTTACTTGGTGCCAAAGTAGATATAGTTGGACAGCTGGTTGACAATCGTTGTGTAGTACCTGGCCGCCGTTCCCACGGTGCAGAGAAGCAGGAGGGTGAAGAGACCCCGCCGGGGCCACCGCCAAAGTCCCAGGATGAGCAGGGGAGCCACCGCGAAGAGTTCGGTGTCGATGCCCAGATGGTGCGTGTGCGTCAGGCACATTTCGCTAAAGCCAAAGTAGTTGTGGATGAAGAGCAGGTTGCGCCACCAGTTCTTCTTGCAGATGTCCGCATGGTGGCCCACCACCAGGTTCCACTGGGGTCCACTGCCCCACAGGGGCAGCACGTACGTGCAGAAGAGGATCAGGGCGGCCAGGGGCGGAACAATCCTGTGGATAAAAGGTACAAGGTAAGTAACTATTCATCTCATTGCTTCATATATTTAATAGTTTCCTCACCTCATCAGCCGGCTAATGTACTCGTTCTTCAGCCTGATGGGCTGCTGCTTCATGAGTCGACCGAAAAGCGAATAGGCCGTCAGCATTCCACTGAAGAGCAGGAAGGGATCGGTGTACAGGGAGGCCGCTCGTCCAATCACCGTCCACGGCTGACCCAGACTCTCCGACATGGCCGTGCGGTTGTTGTACGGATTGAAGAACATGGCCATCGACTTGTGCGAAAAGATCAGCATGATGGCGTTCAGGAAGCGAATGCCATGGACCGCCTCGATGTCCCCGGGAGCACTGCTCGTGCTGAACAGCCAGCGGAGGTTCTTGTCCAGCGAAAAGGCCGTGAACCAGGCGTCTGAAAAATGGTATTGGCATTTACAATTTAATTAGGGAGTTAAAAAAATTGTTCTAGGGATTTCAGTAACCCTAAAAAGATTTTTCAAAATGAGAAAATAATTAATTC